GCGGGAAGCCGATCAGCTGGGTCTGTGACCATCTCTGCCCCAGCCAGGACTTGCTTTGACAGCCTGTGTGTATGCCTGTGTCCTGTGTGTGACAGGACAAGAGGCAGGAGCAGAAGTATGAGCCCCACTCCTGCCCACCCATGAACACATCTCCAGGACTACTGAGAACACCCTTATCTACCCACCATTTCTTTTGTGCCTGCTCTCAGCCATGCCTGGCCCTCCTCCAGACATCAGCAGAGAAGAGACAGGGAGGGCTGGGAAGAGTATTCTTTTTTTCTTCTTCATGTTCACTTCCAGCCCCTTCCTCATCACCTGGGGACCACCTAGGGTGGAGAGGGGAAATGAAACTCTAAGGACATGAAAACATCCACACCTATTTACCTTGACACGTTTTCTGATTTGCGCTGAGGCATCAGCCCCCCTCCTAGCCTGGGCTCCTGAACAAGCACCCCAAGGTGCCTGCCCAACCTGCAGATCCTCCTTCCCCACCCCTGCCACCCCTGGCTGCGGACCCCTGCAGACAAAACCTCTTCCGTGCAGCTGCTTCCAATACCCTGGTGACATGTAATCCCATGCACCTCGGAGCTCTGCCTGCTCCCTAGTGTGCCTGTGGCATTAACACAATCATTTCCCAAGCAGCGAGGTTAAGGAAAGGCGAACGCCCTTCTTCCAGGAGTGAGTGACCATGAGCGTGTGTGTGGGTGCCGTGTGGACTGCACCCTGGCGCCGAGCAGTGAGTCTGCAGAGCTGAACCACTCTGCAGCCTGCTTTGCCTTTGGTCAATAGCTTTCCATGATATTTCATATAGAAATACACAGAGCTCTCCAAGTGGGTGTGTATGAGACACTGGTGTCTGACATAGCTGTATATTTGGTTAGTACTTTGTATGTGGAATATTTAATTAATAAAACCCCAAAGATCCTGACAACAAGAGACTGGTGCTCTTCCCAGGAATGTGGTCACTCTGATGGCTGGTGGGGTGGCAGCAGCAGCTCCCCATGGGTTGGAGTGGGTCGCCTGGGATATTGCAGCTAAGGGGAGAATGCCAGAGATGCTGGTTTTTCCAAAGCTGTGTCACTCTGGGCGAGAGATCAGCTGCTTGAGGGTGCGGAAGGCAGTTATAGCTTGTCTGTGCTGCTTTTCTTGAATAAAGAGCTGATTCAATGTTAGAAGTGTTTAAGAAATACGAAACCAAGCAGAAAATGGAAAGATAGGATCTTTTCATCCCATATGTATCTGTGTCTGCTGCATCTATGTTCCTGTATTGAAATAAATTGTACTTGTATAGTGCTGGGTACTTGCGTAATCAAGAATAGGAAAGGAGCTTGTAGGCATTTAATTCGGCTGGCAAAAGTCTGTCTTTCCGATGTTCTGAAGACATGTAATATTTTTATTTGAAAGTAGAAACAACATCAAAGCAAAATAATGATTATGGTGATGTTAATAGTGATCATTTTTTTAAAGAACTCCTGATGGTATGAGACTGTAATCTCCCATTTTAGAGGCTTCCCCTCCCATGAGTTTTTACATGGTATGATATACTACCACAGATCCATATGCTCCTGCAAGCAACCCCCCTTCCTCAGGCACAGGGCTGTTTAGAATATGCCAGGCTGGGCATTACCCACTCTGCCTACCAGCAAGGAAGGACAACACAGAGACACTGGGGTCTTCTGAATCCCTTGACATAAGAAAGAGCCCTCCTAGGCACTGGTTTGAAACGCATCACAGGACATCTTGCCTTTTTCTAGTAAATTTGAGGTGGAAACAATGTTTTAACCCCTCCTCCTCCTTTCCCCTCCAACTACAGAGTTCCCCACATGTAACACAGACGATGGGAGAGAAAACTCGAGGATACTAGTGTAACATTGGGGAGCAGATTGGCAAGGTGGTATGTGAAGCCATGATTCAAGTTGTTAGCTTGCAGACTGAAGGTAGGAAGGATGTGCTTGAACCAATACCAGACTTTCAATAAATTGTTTTTTCAAGCTGATGTTGTGCCACTGAAGGCTTTAATGTAGCTAAAGTATGTCCTAGGAGGAGCCAAGAATGTGTTAGAACAGAGCCAGCTCCCCTGCTTTCATGGCAAAGGGAGCACAGAAGTGAGAGCATAGTGTGCTCCTACTATGTGTGTTTTCCACATTCCAGACACTCACCAACTCCTTCACTGACTGCCACAGACAAGAAAGTGCCTCTCAAATGCTCTCTCTTGGCCCCAGAGGCAGCAGAACTAGGAGGGATGAGGGACACCATATGCACTCCCATCAATCCAGGGCACAGCAATTTTCTTGATTACTTGTTACTGTGCATGCTGTTCAGCAGAGAGCAAAAATCTCCTTCCACGGATTTACAGTGCCTTTTAGAGTATTCTTTTTAAACCTCTGTAATGACACAAATACCAATCTGCCCAGAGCTGTTTTGCACTTGTTCGATACCAAGGCAGGTTTGGGTGAGCGCTGGTTTAAATTTTCTGTGGAACTTGGTGCTGGTGGCAAAGGAGTGTTGCTGCTCTGCAGGTTTCTCGCACCTCAAGAGAGGCTTTTGGGAAAGCAGGAGTTTTCTCTTTTCTGAAGACTGAGCTTAAACTAAATCACTCAGCCACTCAGCCACACACACATGTCCCAGGTAATCCTAAACTGTGGGGCCAGGCAGACTATGCCCAAAAGGAACAAGTGAATGGAGGAGGCAGGAAGGCTGCCTCATCCTTATGCTGGGTTTTATTGAAATGTGCCCCCCGGAAGGCCGGTAAACCCAGTAAGGGCTTGTCCCTGCCCTCTCTCCTGCAAAGGGCAGGACAGCTGCCTTCAGGGTCTCTAGTTCCTCCTCTCTGTTCTCCTCAAACATACTGTTCGAGGACACCAGAGCACCAGAAATGCACACCCTGGAAAAGGGTTGGCACAGAGCACACCTGGATTATGAAAGCAGCCAGGATTATCAGGAGGCGGGATAAACACAGCTGAACTTTATGTCAAGCATGTCGTGGGAAAAGGGCAAAGAAGAGAAGAGGCACCACTCGGATCCAGGGCCTTCAGGGTCACCATCCTACAGGCTTGCCAGGGCTGCAGGGCTTCACGTGCCTGGCCAGGGGTGGGCACAGAGAGTGCAGTAAACCCTTTGGGCATGGACACAGGCCAGTGGTACCAGAGCCTGGGTCGGGGAAGGACTTTGCTGGGTTCACCTCCCAGATGCTCCCTGGCTTGCCAAAAAAGCTTCTTTTTTGGCAGCTGGTGCTGATACCACCCTCCCTAAACAAGGTGTTTCTCTGGGAGGGATTCACCCTCTCCCCACAAGCCATGTAGCCCTTGCTGTATGTGGCGCAGGAGTGGTAAATGACTCATTTACCCCCTTAATAATAATAAATAATAATCAATAATAATAATAAATGATTCATTGCCCCCTCTTTCAGCTGGGGCAGGAGATGCCAGGGACTAGCTGTCAGCAGAGGGGAGCACACTGTCAGCTGGTGGGGCTGCTGCTGGGCTGTGTCCTCCTTCAGGCTTTGGAAGCAGAGGTGCTGGGAAGCACACCCAACTCCAGTGCCTGCCTGCCAGGCTGACCATGGACCAAAAAGCAAGCACTGGTGTCCTGGGGTGGCAGGAGGCAGCTGCATGGGATCAGGAACCCCTGACACTTTGTAAGCCCCTTGTAAGCATGGGGCATGCTTTGCACCCTGCAGCCTGTTCTGAAGCAAGTGCTAAAAAGCTGCATCCCCTCTGGCCTGCTCCACGTGGGTGATGGGTCACTGGCAGCCATCCCTCTCTCCCTCCCTCAGACGTCCCCTTTGCTACATCTGTCCCCTCCCTGTTTCAGTATCCAGCAAAGAGCAGTGTCAAGTGAAGACTCGAGCTGTCCCGAGTCACTGGGGCTGGCGGGGAGGCTGGCACAACCTTGTGCACCCCCCCTCTGCAGGCTCCTGGCACCAGGGCACCACTTGAATTGGATCTGCTCCCTAAGGAAGAGAATCACAAGTCCGTATCTCAGCTGTGACAACTGTTGGCCCAAGTGTGCACGGTTCTTCTATGGCAAAGGTATAGATGGTGTGTCCAGTCCCCAGTGACAGCAGTCACCTCCCGTACAAACCCTACACTGTAGGTTTCAATGTGTCTCATGACACTGGACCAGAAATAGAGGTACCCGAAGAGCAGAAACACCCCCCATTTTCCCATCGCGGGTACAGGTAAGGGTAACAGCTGGGAGCAGAGTATCCTTCAGCCACCTCAAGTAGCTGCACTACAGCCTGTGAGCAACACTTAAAAGGGGCTAATACCCAGCAGAGCAAGTGACAGCATCAGAGCATCCTCCACACACACACACATACCAACCTGGCCAGGCGGGTTGCTTAGCTTACACTGTTCTCTTCAACACACATACTCCACACGGAGGGACTGTGCAATGTCTTAAAGACAAATGAGATCTGAAAGCTGACAGTGCGTAGGTCATGTGTACGTAACACGTGGGATGCCTCTTGCTTTATTGTGCCCCAAGCTCCTTTCAAAGCATAAGCTCCCACATGTGCAGAGAGCTGGTGGTTCTAAGGCAGAAACAGCACCCAAGGCCACTCGTGAGCTGAGGGCTGCAGCAACAGCAGTCACTGCGGAGGAAGTCCAAAGGCCTCTGCTGGCATTTGCCTGCTTTCTGAGGGACTCCGTATGCAAAATGAGGTGTGCCTTGA